GTAGGGAATACAAATGAGATATTACACCATATTAGGAACTACAGTCTATTTGATTATGTATGAAGTCTTATCGCAATTTTGCGACTTTGGCACTAAGAGGGTTAAAAGCTGAATATTTCTAAATGAACTCTGTTATTTTGACAGGAAAATATAACAAAGAATATGGTTTACATGTAGTGCGTCGATTCAGCGTGGTATGCAAGACTCTCGCTCTCTCTCTCTTTGCATGTGTGAGAAACACAGCGCTATCAGTAAAGCGACGGCGAGTCGTGTGCCTTCACACTAGTTTACGGTACGTCAAATACAGGTGCGCTGCGTGGTACATACTGCGCATCCATTGAGTACATGACATGATCCATTGAGCGCATCCAAATAGTACAGATCGCTTGACGGAGAGCGAAACTCAATCGCTCAGTCAGCGTGTTTATCGAGTGAAAATCTGTGTTGAACGCCTCTCACACACATACTGGCGTGTAAAATCTAAGAATTTATTAGCAAATGGCTAATGTTAGATATTATTTAGTCGCCCAGAGTAAGATTAGTCGCATATGCGAGTGATTTACTCGCAATGTAGAGGGTTGGGATAAAGGCTGTTTAGACTCACTTTTAACTGTAACTCAAAGAACAATGGGTAGTGAATAGTGTGTATGAATATGAGCACTCATTTGATCTGTCCGTTTAGATGGGTTTTCTTTATATATTCTCAATGTAGCTGCAAATGAAATGTTTGCACTGCAGAAACACAATCACACTCCCACTGTGGGAAATGTAAACTAGCTCCATCAAAGTCTCCTTATGATACAATGTGTGTGTATGTGTGCTGGCTAGATGTTTTAGGCATTCCTAGGAGAAGACTTTTTGCCAGTTTGTGACTAACATTGTAAGGGAGAAGAGGGTTATTGGGCAGGGTTCTTTGTCTGCAACTCTTACTACACCAACCATCTTGCTCACAGTTTGTAGTTTCATGGGACTTGGATAAGTGCTGTGCTAACCAAATCAAATTTCCCTTGTATTTGGAGAGTTTTTTTGTTGTTTTTTTTCTCTGTTGCAAAGTGAGCCTCTTGAAATTTTTAATTCTTGAGTCATCGACCATTTTAATTTCCCTTGAACCAAGCTGCTGGTTAGTCTTCCACCATTTGTTTTCCTTTTTCCTTTGCTACAAAACTACTGGTAAACCAGATGGCTTCTGTTACATTATACCACAAGACAAATATTTAAAAATGAATGAGCTTATAAATTTAGAAATGGTGCTAATGATGTTGAAAATAAAAGGACCACACGCCCTTAAAGGTCTAGAATGAATGGAGCAGTTAAACGTTTTAAAACTGTTTAACTGGAATATAAGGGAAATTCACTGCCCAAGGCTCTGCTGAGTGACACTTGTTTAATCTGGAACAGTACCTTCATCCTAATGGCCATTTACTTAATTAAAACTTAATTATTGATATGCAAATGTCTGTGCCAGTGGGTGTTGTGTTATTTCCATTTGCATAAAAGGAAGATTGTTCCTGTAGGAATGTTTTTGACCTCTTTTTTTATATTGTCATCTTAAACTTCTCAACCTATAATTTTGTTGTTTAGGATCTGGAAAAATAATACAATAATGGTCATCAATCTTATTGTCTGTTAGTCTTGTCTTTATCAAAATCATAGCCATGGCAATTTATGTTCTCTTTGGCCATGAGTATAATGAGCCCTAGAAAAGCAAAGTTTTTGTAAAAACCTAAGCCTTTGGATTCCTGGGGTCAGCATCTCTGTGGAAACTTCTTGGTTTGTACTTTCCATCTACATAATTTTAATTGAGTTTTGGTGCCTCTGATAGGCATAATGCTGCAGAAATGAAGATGCAAAGTTGTTGACCTTAGTTGCTATGCTATGCTTTTTTTATACCTTAATGCTCTCATGTTAGTTGCCCTCTATTTATGTAACGTGATTGCAGTCCTATTTTCTTCTCCTTGTTGTTGTAGTTTTTGTTTTGCTTTAGTTTGATCAAAGATGGTTTAATCAGTGTCCTAGTTAGTGTGAATAAACTTTATGTAGGTCATAGAATTGTAATGGGAAATTCCTGTTCTTTTGTTCTCATTCTTTAACAATTGGCTGTTGTTTAGGAATAATTTGTGGGGGAGATGTTATAGACTTGGCATTTGGGGCCAAGCCATTTGACCATGTACTCCATTGTGCACTACTATAAGAAGTTTGCTCATTGCCTGTATTCTCTGTGCAAAGAGCTGTCTTGTGCCATGGTTACTGGCATTGAATTGAGCATTCCAACATGTTTCATACAGTTCTTATCTTTTGAAGTTTTGCTGGCTCTGATTCTTGCTTACAAAAATATTTTATGGTAATTTTGATCATAAAGACTAAAGCCCAAAGTATAGTTCAGCCATCCACATTCTGCAACAGTCTACGCACTGTCCGTGTGATGCAATTTTTGTCATCAGAAGTGTCTGTGGATGTCCGCAGAATGTTGAGACAGAACGAGTCCACAAGGTGGTACTGCATGTGTCGAACTTGCCCATCCGTGCTCATCCGCGGTTGGGTATACTTTGAAAGCTGTGTGGAAATGGCAGTGCGAGACTGAACGGAACATGGAAAAAGAAGTATACCTATTACCTACACCTTAATGCAAACTGCAAAGGTCATGACATTTAAGCAAACTTCAATCAGTTCCAGTGGCATTACACGGTGTTTGACTGTTTAATTCTATTATTAAGTATAGGTGATATTTTCCTGTTTTCCTTGCATATTACTTTGTCTTATTGCTATCAGGTCTTATTAGTAGTAGCCTGTTATTTAGGTTAGCTTTTAACACAGCATCAAGGTGTATGGGTATACAGTGGCACTGAACTGTGACCACAGCATTTTCGCTAGAGTTCTTTGTTACTGTGATGCATACCCTGTCAAATAAAGCAGGCTGTAAGCGAGAACTTCATCAGATCCTATTAGAGTGTTAGGTTCAGGCAAATATGACTCTGTCATGTCGTTAAAGGCAATTTGTGAACTGCAAAGCTGCAAGACTAAAAGCATCTATTAAATTGCAAGTAACCAAGGCGTGTGAGATGATGCAAGCGATCTTCTCATCACTAATTCTCCCCTATGAGAACATGAAAGGGGGATCTAGGAAGCAACTGCATTAAGGGTGTGTAGGCTTGACTGAAGGAAATTGATTATCATCTTTCATTTCTCCCTAATGTGGTCGCTTACAAAACATTTGACCCATCCCCACTCCTACTCCCTTCATCACTCCCTACTCCCCTCCTTTTCCTGTTTCCTCCCTACCCAAGTCATTTTCTCTCAGGTTAGAGAAATTGGATGTAGATGCATTAGTTGATGAATGGTCCCAGTGGATTGGTTTTCTGGTGCTGCTTGAAATTGCTTTATGGTACGCATGCAGACTACCCAAGACAGGAAGCTGGTTTGATACGAAACTATTTTGTGCATGTGCTGTCAAAAAACAATATCTTGGAAGGCATTCTAATGAAACCAGTAACTGCAGCTTGACACTTTCTCATCTGAATGTGTAAATCAGTGTGCAGAAATCTGAAATAAAATGGCAAAGAGGCTTTGCACTGTTTTTCTAAGCTGCTCACAATTTTTTTTCTCTCTTAGGGCAACTGGAATTTCTGCCCCACGACCAGCTGCTACTTCAGCTACAGGAAGAACAGTAACCGGTTCAACAACGTTGTCTTCTGCTGTTCCTAGAACAAGCCGCACTGCTACACAACAGCCTGTTAAACCCCTGGTTACAGCATCAGCTGCTCGGAAAGGTGGTGTACCATTCATGGGAATATGTTTGTACTTGCATTATTTAAGGAAAAGTACTGCTTAATTTTTTGTTCATTCCGTAATGTTATCAATATATATTTGTCCCTTATAGATGTTGGAAAAACAATCACTACAGCACCTGTGAAAAAAACAGTTGCCTCAACAATATCCCGTCCTGCTGCCAGCAAGTCTTCAAATTCAGAAGCTCCAAAACCAGTTTCCGCTACCAAACGACCTCCAACTAGCATCAAAGCACCTCAACCCAAACCAGATGACAAAAAAAGTGTACCAACACGTAAGGTGCCTCCTGGTCCACGAAACAATCCTTCACAGTCAGCATCAGGCAAGAACATTGCAGCATCTCCCGGTCACAAACAAGCAGGTAGCATAGTCGGTGTGAAGCTTCAGCCACCTAAACCGACACAGTCTGTTTTGCCACTTGTCAAAGTTAAGCCTGATGATAAAGAACCTGCAGCAGAGCCTGTACAACTTTCGACAGCTGCAGTAGCTACTGTTGCTGTAGCAGCAGCTGCAGCCATAGCCAGGGAAGAGTCTGTTTCAGAGCCTGAAGCTACTCCAACTGTAGAGATCTCTCTGGATGTTCCAGCCTCTTCTTTAGATGTTCAGGAAAAGGTAGATGTGCAGGTCACTAATGTCAGCTCCCAATGTGTGCTGGATATATCTAACACGGAGCCAGAGGCTCAAGAGGCCTTAATAGAAGCTGATTCTGTTGAAGTGGCTTGTCCGACATTGACTGTAGTCGAGCAGGAATCTGAAGGACAGGTGTCTGGAAAAGATGATGAAAAGCTTATTGCGGTTGTGGCACCAGTTGCACAGGAAGCACCTGAGCAGGAAACCTTAACTGCTTCACAGTTTGATAACTCTGCTGCTGCCATAGTGTCCACTGGTGTAGAGGTGGCTGAAAAAGCTGAACGGATTAACAGTGACCGTTATGAAGATGTGGAAGAAGAAGAGAGGGAAGGCAGTCAACAAGTGTCTTTGTCAGAAATGAGTGGCACCCAGCCTACTGAAGGATCTCGTCCTGGGTCAGCTGGGCTTGCTGGGTCCGTTTGGCGTGCAGGGGCCTTGCTCTCTGAGCTTGACTCTGAGGATGTGAGTTGCAGCCAGCAGGGAGCATCAGAGTTAAGTGCTCCAGGCGTTCTGGAGGGCACGGAGAGCATGGATGATCTAGGGGATGCAAGCCTTAAAGGAGCTGATGGTGAATATGCATCAGTTGGGTCCCCTGACTTTGAGAAGGTTTCTGATATTCTTACTAATGAAGATGAAGATGACGACGATGATGATGATCGAATCTGTGACATGGAGGTTGGGTCGGAAAGAGCAGAGGACTCTCATAGGCAGCATCATGACAACGAGGATGATGAAGAAGATGAAGATGTAGAGATGGCAAGCGAGGGCATTACTGAGAGTGGGCTTGAAAGTTATGGGAATGCAGATGAAGATGACTTGACCGAAGACTATAGATTAGACAACTTGAACCGAAGCCAGCCTTCACCCATGGTTCCTTCTGCCCCTCTTGCAACCCAGTGGAACCAGCCTAGTTGCTTTGCTGATGCCTTGGCCCAGCCACCACATCCTGCCTCTACACTTCTTTCAAGTCCTTCCTCTGAATGTTGGCAAGCAGACCCAGAAACCCCAACACAGACACCTGCTCAAACCAGATTTGATGTTAGCTCTGAAAGGGGCTCTCCATCAAACCTTTTGGAGCCTCCACCTTGCACACCTCAACAAGCCCCAATATCTGCTGCAGAGGGGAATGTTAGCCCCAAACCAGGTTTGACACCCTTTCAAACCTGCAAGTTCCAGTCTGAGACTTCCAGTGACCCTGACCTAGCATCTGACAGTAACAGGGACACAAATATACCAGAAGAGGTGAAAGACAACAACTTTTCGGGTACTGAGACTCATTCTAAAGTGGAGCTCCAGCCCGAACCACTACACCCTGTTCCCACTGTCTTGCCAGACATCATGCAGGATCTAGGCATCCACCTTGAATGTGCTGATGAGGAAGAAGAACCTGAAACTCTGCCAGCTGATGATGTACTGGGTGGTTCAGCAACTGCTCCATCTCCTTCATCAGCTACTGAGGATGAGGAAAGTGGCACAGAAGGTGAAATGCAGATCAGTGACCCTCAAGCTGAGCTATTTGGCACTGGGAATGCCTATGGAACGGCACCTGTGGGCCACAATTTGTCCGCTCTAGAGGAATGTGAAGAAATGGGTGGGGAGAATGAAGGTGGTGGTGGTGGTGGTAGTGAGACCCCTCAGTCTGCCACTTCTGCTGCTTCCTATGGATTTGACTACATGACCTCTAACTCCAATGCCCAGTCATCTGCCGAGAGTTGCAGCAAGAGTCCTGGCATCTTTTCTCTAGAAAATGAAGAGCAGCTCCCAGATGAGGCCAAGGATCCATCTCTTCTTAAAGAGTTGACCCTGATACCTGCTACTGCACCTGGGGAAAAGATTGACCCTATTAAAAGCCAACATGGAGAGTTCCAGTCTCACCCAGAGCAGCAGTACATGCTGTGTGGAGAGTCCAGTGAGCTGCCTGAGCCTGATTCAGTACCGGGAGCTGTTCCCTTAGAGTCTGGCTTGATTAATCCTTCATCCCCACAGCACCTGGAAGAGGAACAAGATCTTGACATTCAGCATCCCTACTACTCCACTATATGTGAAAAAACTGATAGTCCCCTGGCAGGTAACGTATAGAGTGCACTTTAAAAATCCACCTTCCAGTGTACCTTGTTGATGTCATCTCTATATAAGGGTTTCCCTGCTGATGATGTCTTTTTATTCAGTTAGGAAAACACTCATTCAACATTGCCACTTTCATGATATGATACAGCTATTAAAATTACGTTTGTAAGTATATGGCTTAGAACCTGTATGTGCAATAGCTACTACCATTTACACTAAAGGTGACTCTTTTTCTCAGCTATTCTTTTTAAATGTAATAATGGGTGTTGGTCTGAACTGGCATGAAATTATTTGTTTGTGGAGTCTGCAAATTGGCAAAAAAGTAACCACTGAAGAAAAATGAACAATGTAATGGACTTTCAACACATTTTGTCTATTTACTAATTCTTTTTTTTTTTACTGAACAAATGCATATTCATTGCTTTTTGTATTCTGTTGTCTATATTAACTAAATACCAGTCTTTCATCCCTTTTCCATCATTGCCATATCTTGTCCTCACGTTTCTCTCTTCTGCACTTTAGGGTTTGATAACCCCTTACTTTTTTATGTCCTGTTTATTTGGAGTACTTAATGTCTTAGTGTTAAATAAAGGTTAGATATTTAACATGATTTATGTTTTCTCTGTATGTTTCTTGATGTTTGGGTTTCAAGGTAATTTGCACTTGTTTTAATGCCCACTGTTCATCAATCACTATGAGCTGTTGCAAATTGGTCACATTAGCCGGGTTTCCATCCAAAGTTGCGAATTTAACTTATGCGCAAAACTGGAATATCGCATAAAACATTTGCGAACAAGCATCGTTTCCATCCAACAAGTCAAAGAGAACAAAATCGTCACTTCCTGATAAACTGGCACTATAAATCGCTGAGAAAAGTAGGAGAATATAATAAATTACCTGCGCCTCAGAGCGAGCAGACGAAACAATGAATGCGGTCATTGCTTTCGGAGGTGGATGCTGCTGTTTGGGAACGCAGTCGTGTAAGACATTTCTGGGAGGCAATTATACAGAAATACTTTGACAGACTCTGCTCGTGCATTTCCGAATGACCATAACATTTCAGATGCTGTGGAATGAGATCGGTCCGCTGGTTAGTCAGGTTTTGCCGTCCCATAGCGCAAAGTCACGACTTTTTTTGATGCGCTTGGAGGAATTTATTCTCAAAAATGCATTTCCATCTCCCATTATTCGCATCAACCCTTTTTCGCACAAGTCAAAAAACCACCTCAAGCGAGCGTAAAAACTTTTTTGCGAATTAAGGGATTTTTATTTGAAATTTGGTGTTTCCATCACTCGATTCTCATGCGATACTTCAAAATGCGCATTAAAATAGGGTGATGGAAACATTGAAGTAGTCAAATAACAATTGAGATTTCAATGGTATATTCATTTGAGTTTAATATTAAGTATTTAATATTAAGAAACAATGTAAAAAAAATTCTACTTAAGGCTGAGACACTAATTCAAGGTATCTTTATTTTGTTAAAGTTTCAGAGCACATTTTAAGTCAAAATTAATGGAATATTTTATTCACCTTTACTTAAACCACTTGGTACTACGTTTGTTGTGGCATTATAAGTCAGTTACTAATACTAAATTGTGAACTTGCACATATACACTTACACAAATACATGTTGAACCTTCGGTAAGTGAATTTTGTAAAGAAATCAGGATACTTCTATGCCAGTATGTTCCTTCTGCTTGTATTCCTCCTTCCCTTTTGACCCCACCTACCATCCGGAGGAGGAAAAACAAGATCTGGCCCCATCAACCTCCTGGATCTCACCCTCTCTCAAGGTGCTTTAAGTCCTCCACCTCCTTTCTTCGTTCTCCATCTTTGTATACCGTTGCTCCTGGCGTAGACTTTGCGCACCTTCCACTTTGGGACTAACTGGGTGCAGCTGCTTTAATCACTCTGATTATTAACAAGTTGAGCTGAAGCTATGTGAAAAGACCTGGCTTGACACATTTACCTGGACTAATTGGACTTCAATAAATCCCAATGCTGGGTGGTTCTTAATCCCCAAAACTGGACTTGCTTTGCACAATGCACTTTTCTGTAATTTATTCCTGTTTAAGCATGCTCACCTCACCAAAGAAATATGCTGTACACTGGGGTGGCTTATGTGTAAAGCATGTCTTGTATTTTATGCATGGGTCTATTGATGGGTCATGTTTTCTCATGGTTAAAAAAATACTTGTTTGCTTTATGCTGTATTGTACTATGCATGGTGAGCGCTCCCTTTGCATGTGCTCCGCTTGTCACATTAAGGGAGATTGTTTACCTCATCTGCTTTTATTTCCTTGTTTTTATTTGCTCTTCACAATAGTTAGAGGTTAATGCATATACAGGGTGTAGCCAATTTTATTGCACAAATATCTTCACAAAATATTTTTGAGAGAATGTCACCAAGGTGCGAAATTATTTGTTGTTCATTCCTTCTCCACTAAATCATTTAATTGTATATCTGACAATTTTGTTTCCCACAATGCTTTTTTCTGCTTCACCACATTCTGCAGTTTTTGACATTATTGTTTTATTTCATTTGCTTAACTCTCCTTTTTAACATGTATTGGACCCTTTGCTTCATTCACAGAAAGAAACTCCCACTTTCCACCACAACCAAATGACTTGCTTTCCATCCAAATGACGATGTCATCCAAACTTCGTCTCCGACCACGTGCTCCCTATGTGACCCAACCACCACGGCTTCCCACTGACCTCCCTCCCAGAACACCAAATGTGGTGTCAAACACACAGCTCCGATGTCTAGAGCAACACCAACAGCACCTTCATGAGATCCAGCAACGACAGGAGAAACGTAATCGAGAAGACGCAAAAGAGGAGAAACAAGCAAAGAATGAGAGAGAGCAGCAGGAGGAAGAACAGAGGAGAAATTTACTTGAGTTGCAACTTAAGCAGCAAGAGCAAGAACTGAAGCAGCGACAGCAGATCATGCAGTGGCAACAAGAACTTGAACAGCAGCAAAAACACAAGGTCCATACACCAGTTGACCTCTCTCCTTCATCAGGTCTCACCACCATCTATGAAACTGTGGAAACGAGTGACTCCGAAGACGAAAAGGACGAGGGACAAGGAGTGGTTGAGGAAGTAAAAGATAGAAGCTCCTTTAATGTGTGCCCTGGAGAAGACTTGCAAAGATGCACTGAAGAAAATGACTCTGCTGATCTTTATTCACAATGCACAACACCTTCCCCAGAGTCTATTATTCAGGGTCCACAGAGAGAACTCCAGGAGACAGACCCTGCAGCAGACCAAGACAGTCCTTCTCCCTTGGGATCTCCTGAACGGCCTCCACCTCTGGAGTTTGACTGGGGCAGGAAGGTGGACATTGTCCAGCAGCTCATCAATCAGACATTACTGCTTGCAGGTGATGGTTGCTCGCCCCTTCTTCTGCTACCCGGAGGAGCAGGTGGGACACTCAGCCCCCTCGAAAGCAGCCTGTGGCCCAACTTGTTGCCACCTCTGACACCCCCTTCAGCCATTGTGACGTCTGTGAGCAGCTTCTCACCTGAGGCTCCAGGAAGCTCTGCTCAGGGTGAGTGGACCGTTGTAGAGCTGGAGACACATCACTGAGGAAAGTTGAATAAAATGCCTGCCAAATATGAACTTTTGGGCTCAAAAGACTTAAGATTAAGGTCCACCAGTAGGGAAGCGCATGTTGTAGCATTAGGTAATAGAGCATTCTTTTGATAAAATCTTACTTCGAGATGTAGTCATGGATATGACTGGTTCATCCATTTTTCTTCTGCAGTACTTCAGCAAGTGTTGGAGTAGAAAATTGTGTGAACCTGAAACTGATACTGCAGAACAGTGTGCTGGACTATCACCATCTCATTCTTTGATTTTTCTTCATCCTGAGAGTTATTCTAGTGCTGCGAGCATTCATTTCCACTCCCCACCCATCCAAAAGCAATGGAACACTATAGTCCATACTTTTATGCCACTGATACAGCCTTCCTGCCAAATTGGTCAGCCATATCTGACCTGCCATCATGTCAAAAGGCCATTTCCGTAAGGTTTAATGTCTTGCTGGCTTGAAATACATACATTTATCTCTTAGTCATTGTTGAGCTCTCTACCCACAATGGAGGCAAGATGCCAACTCAATGAGCATGTTAAAACAAAATGGGCTCCTTTCTCTGACTTCTCTGAGCAGAAGATCTGTAAAAAAGATAAAGACTTGAGATAAATTGAAACATGCCGGTTTAGAAGTCAGATCAAGCAGGCATTTTTTTTCTTGCACTATGCTGATTACAAAAAACAAACTGGTTTAATTTGGCTCATGTGCAATTTAATAGCACAAAATGCTGTTATTGAACAGCCCATTGCTTGTGCATTCTGCTGTTTGACACAAGATTTGCAGGATTAACTACAGAGTGAAGTAGAGTATTTTGAAGTAAATGCTGATTCGACAACTGTAGTTGTTCCAAATGAAATGTTTAATTCATTGAGTAATTGTGATAACTGTAAAATAGACAATATTACAAATTTTCCAAAGCATGCACAGCTATCCAAAATTTTAAACTGATTTGGTTAAGACCTTTTTTTTAATAATCCTTATCATAAAGAAGCTTGACACGT